CGCCCCCCCCCCCCCCCCCCCCCCCTCTTACAGCTGTTATGGCTGTGACGTGCGGTTCTGCTGGGCATTGTGGGTCCAGGAGAGTTGCTTAGCTGGGGGGCAAGAGTATCCATTGTTTAAGTATTCCTGTCATTTTGCCTTTGTTTATGTCCACCCAAACAAAGTGCTATTTTCTTCTACAGAGTGCACGACATGTTATTCAGTTTCATGAGCTGCATGTTAAGAGGGACGTTAAACATTTTACAAATTGAGGGTCACACTCACTATGACGTCATTGCACTTGAGAAAGTCTTGTGGACAGCTTTGTTGAACACTTGTGCTCTGTTTAACGACGTTTTGATCCTCAGACCTTTTACTGGGTTTTACCTGATTTATTAATGTTGTTATTAAAGATCCGGTGTGTAACATTTAAAAGGATCCTTTGGCAGAAATAGGATATAATATGCATAACTGTATTTTCACGAGTGTATAATCACCTGAATATAGGAATCGTTGTGTTTTTGTTACCTTAGAATGAGCACGGCTAAGCTAACTAACCGACTAGTTGACTTTACTGTCAATCAGGAAACTGTAAATCACAGAAAGTTGAGGCGGAGCAGCTGGAGGACACCAGAGGGAACATTTTGTCCATAAATATGATCCAGGTGTACCAAAATCAGGTATATTTAGTGGTGTGTGTGACTAATGCCCCAAAGTGTTACGCACTTGCTCCGACCTGGAGCACAAAGTTAGTTGCACAAACCGCTGCTTTAACGGTTTCGACAAAGTTAACCACATCAACATTGTTTGCAAACTGAGTACAATGTTTCTTCATATCCAACAAAGAATGTGGATCAGGGCCAAAATACGTCTACACTTTAACAGTACAAAAAATGCCACATTTTTTGGGTCCCACAATCATATCTGAAGTTACAGCAGTGCATCTGGTTTTGGATATTTAAGAGCTTTTATAAACTTTGGGGATGCACTGATCTGAGCTTTTCTGTCCAGATACTGATGCCCGTATCCAAACTCAGGGTATTTTATGATTCTGTGTACAAATCTGATACCACTGCATTCTTTTCACTGATTGTGAAGTCTGTGCAACACTCCCCCGCTCCATGAAACTCACTGAAATAATGCTTATGGAACTGTAAAACAAAACATCTGAACATGTGTCCACAGGACAGCTGAGGGAAAAGGTGTCAGCTTAAACGCACAAATCCACAGCTCAACTATCCACCGTGTCTCTTTTTCTGCTCACAAACTAAAAGTCACAGTCTAATGTAACATTAATTAGTGCTTTCACAGTGTTTCTTTTACTCCAGTTGCTAAATGTTCAAAAGAAAAAGATTTACTGGCCTACCATGGCTCTCTGATTAAAATATATGATGATGATTGGAAAAAATTAGCTTTAAGTATCAAAATTAGCCCGTGTTAGTTCAGTGTTTAATGTGGATGGGTAACATTAGCCTGATACCCAAGTCGCTTGAGTCTGTAATGTGTAAATCCCTTAAAGCAAAAAGTGTAGAATAATAATCTGAGAATATAAACGAGGAAGTCCTTATCCATTGTTAGAAAATGTGTCATCTAGCTCGACACTAGCTTATCCAAGACTGAATCGACACCCTGGACATGGGTGGGTCATGTTTCCATTGGCTTTTATAGGCGAAAGTTCTTCCAGCTAATTTCATCCAGTCAGCATGCTGCATGGAAGAAGCCGGTGTGTCACTCTTTAATACCCTGGCTATTGCAGCCTATATCATAGTGGCGTTGTAAGCAGTGCCCAGGAGAAGACCCGGAAGCTGAGCTGAATGTTTATTGAGTGAGTGTTAGCTGTGTTATTTGCCGTTTCTGTGCCGACACTTGTCACCTTAGTGGCTCCGGTATAAGTCTGTTGCTTCGTGGCTATAGCAGGTCTATATTCAGTTGATCATAGGCTGGAATATCATCCATCATGTGACTGGATTATCATATCAAGGATGGGCAATTCCAGTTCACTCCGCTGCCACCAGCCATTTCCAAACACCAATATCAATTTGCATAGAAAATGAAATTGTAACTTTGCCAAGACTCGATCTCATCGCACTCTGGAAGTCATTTGCCTAGCAGTCAGCGCAAAGATAAAGAATCTGTCCACTTATGCTGTTTCTATTACAAAGCAATATCTCCTACTGCCATTACTCATTGTCTATGATGTGTTAGAGCAATGTGTTAGAAGAGCTGTGTATTCTAGGGATCTGAGGCTCAGCTCCAGGACTGAGCTATGATTTATTAATTTTATTCAAATCCCTGATAGCACAAGATGAAAACACAATTTACATGACTTGTAGTAAAGCGTTTTAAGTTGCTCCATTTTGAATTTTTTTATGTTTGAATTAAATAGATAGTCCTTGTGTTGTTATTTCCTGGCTATTTGCAATGCCCTTTTAAACCCCCCGTCGTCTCTCTGTGTTTCAGGCTGCCGAACAACAAAGCACAGAAGAAGATGTAAGTATCCCCTAGAGATCATAGCACACATGCTGCAGTCCCCTGCCTTCTTGTCTGACTTTGAGTCTGCCTCTGCTTTCACACCTTTGCAACGGTTTATGTGCAAGATCGTGATAAGCGTATTTATCTGTTGTGTCTGTCTGCAATCTCAGATGTAGTAGACAGACTGACGCTTATGAAATCAGAACGGTAGAGTTGCTTTTGAGAACAATAGAGAGTTGATGTGCATATACTAAAAGCAGTGTGATGTTTTATTTAGCGGTGTGATGTTTTATTTAGCTGTTTGATGAAATGACTGATGTCGACTGCTAAGATGCCATGCTGTTATTCTTTCAGGACTTTGCCAAGGACCGATACGGTGTGTCGGCTATGGTCCAGTCCCAACAGAAACTGGGTTAGTATGAAAGCTACCTCTTTGATTTATCAGCCAACCAATCACCGTCTCATTGCTGAAAACAGATAAAAGATCAGCAGTGGAACAAATTACAAAGGGACAACACCTTTGCTTTGATGTTTGAGCTGTTGCAGTAGCTACAATAATGAAATGCCACGCTATTGACAAGCCAACGGCAGAGCTGGCGCTGTCACAACTGCACGGGAAGTCTCATCACGTCATATTTTTTAGGACAGAACAGCGTCCCAGAGTGGCTAGTATGAAGAGATTCAACACAGCTATTCACTATCCCTCAAGTCACAGCCCAGGATTACATCACCACACAAGTCACCTAACCGCCACCTCACTCGCTCTGGAAAAACTCCTGTCTGGAGAACACCGGCAGAGCCTTGTAGTAGAAAACACCGACCGGTCCGCTAATTATCCCAATTTGCCATAGCTGTGCAGCTCGCCAGTGTTTCATTTTAACGAGTGACCCTGTTAACTGGCGACTTTCAGGCAAATATGTTATTAACTAACTGTTAACAGGGTCACAGACACAGGAGGCAGGAGGAAGGAGAGTGCAGGTGATTAGCACAAGCAGATACTGAGATGAAAAATTATCCAGTTGTACCCCTCACAGAGTAATTTGCGAAAACAGAAAAATGTGACCCGCAATAATACTGCATACTACACTGTTGATCCACCCTAAATGACCACAGGGAAAATTCCTTCACTGTGACAGCTCTACCTTGATGTTACCATGATTGTAATGACCATATAGACCAATTTCTCTGTCACATGTGGTGATATTTGGTGTTTTAAGAGTAGCTGATTATAGTGTCATTTGGTATAATTAACATGTTTGCCTGCCTGTGTCTTTTCCTTAATGAATACACTAAAAGATTTTGTTTCTGTGCCTGCTGTCAATGTTGCCGCTCTCTTATTCAAACATGTTTGCACAATGTCAGCGTCGTCTTTTAAGGATATGCACTTCAGTAGTGTGAAAAACAAATTCAAAGAATAAAATGACACGACTTCCTTTCGTATGAACAAACTTCTTGTTCTAATATTATTTCCAGGTACCAGGGTTGAGTCTTTTTATCTTTTTTTTTCTCGTCTGTGCGTGGCATTTTTCTCAATTTCCTGTCAGTTACCAGAAGTGGAAGTTTTCCCCCCCGAAAATCATGTTTTTTTATTATTTTCATTTGTTTGCCCCTCTTAGTTAGGATATTAGTTCATTTGAACTCAAGTCAAGAGGGGGGGGGGGAAGATTAAACATGCATGTTTGGGTACAAAGGGTTAAACTGCACATTTCTCCTTAAGCTCCATTCTTGTAGTGAGGAAATTTACACAATGCAAAAAAAAATCTGCCATCCTGAAATGGAGAACGTGCAGCAGCTCTCAAATTATATGTTTTGATACAAGATGACATCCTGATCCAGAACTTCTCAGGTTACATTAGTCTGGCGGTCGAAAGTTACAGATGGGCACGGTTGCAAATGATAAAGATCACAAAATATTCTTTTGGTCTCTTCTCTCGTCACGATCGCAGCAGTGATAATTGTGATAACCAATAGTGTGCGATAACTCGTGGAGGAACGAGACAGCAGGCGGACCTGTCGAGGTCGTCCATCTGTCTGGATGCTCTTTCAGCTCCAGTGGCAGCAAACAAAGTGGGGCCTCCCTCACCTGCATGCCAAACCAAGCTATTGGGACGGGATGGGAGGAGGGGGGGTGGAGGGCGAGAGCTTTCATGTGGGTTGATGCCGAGTTCTCAGCCAAAAGGGCGGCTCTGTTTTCTCCAGCGTAGCCTCAGTGTCTGCTTCTTCTGCTCGCTGATAATGAGGAGAAAGCATGCCTCTGAGTGACATAGGTGAAACTAGAGTCAATTTGTCATATAGCCCACAGAGAATGGGTGAGTTGGACAGCTTTTCAGCAGGCCTCCTAGTGTGTCTTATTTATTAGGCACGTCTGTAATTTGAGCGTTTTATTGTACGTATGCCTACACACGCACAAGCAAGCTTATTCACTTTTCTTTCTGCCCTTGGGAGTTTGTTGAGGGGGGGTTAGGGGAGAGGTGGTGAAAGAGAGACATAAAAAGTCCTTTGAAATAATACATTTGTTTGTGTGTGTGAGCCAGACAGGGCGTTGGTGCGAGTCCAAGACCTGAATCCTGAGAAAGCTGACCAGCTCATTTGGCTGCGTGCCCGAGTCCACACCAGCAGAGCCAAAGGTGAGATCATCCCCACATTATTTTTTACCTTTTTCAGCTCGGAGCAACTTTTCTTTTGTGCGAAAGACAAAAACAGCCGAGATTAGATGACCTCTGTGCTAATCCCTGGTGTACTATAGTGAAACATCCAAAACTTGTGCCCTTGGGCCACTTCTCCACCCCTCTCCCTTCTCTTCAGCTAAACCAAACTGATACCAGTTGCCTTTGACTTGCTTTGAAATTTCCCATGACCTAGATGACTGACATCATTCTCTTCAGTCTGATCAACACTGAAGTCTAGAAACTGAAAAAGATCAGCTGTACCCCCGTATAGACAGGCTTTCCCTCATTTTCTATATTATATTCCTCTGTCAGATTGTGCAGACACTTGCAAAGCAGTTTTTTTCTTCTTTTTTTTTATCATTCCTTCCATGTTAAGGAGAGTTTGATAACCTGAGGGTGTTTTTCATATCACTGTCAGACTAGCAAGTTGCTGCCAACTGGAAGCTCAGATAACCTCTATTAGTTGGATTCCAGCTACAGGCAGTCATGAAGTTGCCCTATTAGAATACAATGAACCTACTCAGCTTTGGCAGGTTATTACATCTCTGTATAAAACAACAGACCTTTTTGCTGCTGTGCTGAACTTGTGATTACAGATAAACTCGAGTCACGATGATTATCTTTTTTAGACATTTCCTTTCAAGATAACTTCCAGAGTCAACTTACTTCCACCCCACTCATGTCTTCATTCTCTCTGCTCGCTGTAAGGATGTCCGTGTGAGCAGAATAACATCCTGATTTGCTCTGGTATGAGGTGCATCTGTTGGTGGGATTCTGGCATTGCTATTATCCCCGACCACCCACCCCTCTCACCCCCTTCACACAGGCAACAAACATCAAAGTAGCTGGGTGGTCCGACAGTCTACTGCCCTGGGTTTTAGTCGACAAACTTGTTTACACTCTTCCTAGGTGTGTGTGTGTTTGTTAGGAAGGTAGCAATCACCCTTTCTCCACACAGCGCTCTTCAAAGAAAAGGCTCCGTTCACAAATGTTTGGCACTTTACCTGTAGATGACAAGTAAGATCCTTACAGCTGAGTCACACGTAGACTTCTGACTGAACCGAAGGACATTGCGTCAGAGAGAGCGGCAAAGCTTTTAACGTCACACGCATGTTAAACGTGCGTAAACGAGATCTTAACAGCACGGCTCCATCTATTGTTGTTGTTTTGTTTTCAGGGAAGCAATGCTTCTTGGTTCTGCGTCAACAGCAGTTCAACGTGCAGGCACTGGTCGCCGTGGGAGATCGTGCCAGCAAGCAGATGGTCAAGTTTGCTGCAAAGTGAGTACTGAGACTGCTCTTCCTGTCAGAGAGGGCTCAAACAATGGTGGGAAAATCCTGGGCCCAGTCCGCCGATCCATTTTCACACATTCTGAGTGAGGTGGAGGGTATCAATCATTTTTCACTTGACAACAAAAGCTGACTATTAACATTGTGGGATACAGCAGTGCTTTAATGGAGCAGTTCCTGTCGAGATGGCAGATACAGCAACTTGAATCAGAGGAGAAAGAAATACTTAAGAGCCAAGCATCATTAGTCATGTTAGCAGCCAAACAGTAGCCCGCTGCTGGTAGTCGATGAATGAACACGACTATCTGCGGATATGCGCTTTATTAAAAGGGCTAAACGGGGGAGGGCCCATAATGATGCCAATTTAGGCTTACATTTGATGTTCCCAAGGGGGGTCTTATGTGAAATAATTCAAAATTTGGACTTTAAATCCACATAAAAAACATGTATGACATAATTCATGTAATTTACTAAAACCTACAGTGCATTCATCCTGTGTTTGGAACATTGTTTTCCAATTGTACCACTGTTAAATTTAATATATTTGTATATGGGGAAGACTTGAATTATCATGAATTACTCAAATGGAAACTCCTTTAGATATTGCTAAATTAGTCAAAGGGCAACACCCACAACTGTAATCCGCCAGACCAAAATGGCAGTTATGACATTGTATAATAAAGAACTTAAGCAATGCAGAGATTGCAGCTGCATTAAAAAAAAATGCCTCCTGTTAAGTAGCACCTATCATCGCTTTAAAGCTTCACCGAAAGCTGCGGTTAAGACTGAGGAACAAGTGCAGGCTGTTTCATCCTCCTAGAGAACGTTACCAAAAAAGTTGAAAGAGATCATTTTGATTAAACAGCGCATCTATGTTTGACACTGACAAAGCAGTGTCAAACATCCGTGCAGTGTATGTCAGGCTCTTTTATTGTTCCAGACAAAGTAATCGTTGCAAAGCAGTCTGTACAGAATTTAAAAAAAGGATATATTTGATAGCATCTACAACAAACAACAAAATAAATATTTCTATAATTCATGTAATACTTTGAGAAAACATTAGCATACATTCAGTACATCCAGACTTAATGATGTAAATAATGAATGATGAGATGTATGTACACACCTGCCTGAGTGATATGTAAACAAGTCGGAGCTACTAAATGTTTGATGAACACCCAAATGTGCATAAATTACCATTTTACACCCATTCATTATACTCATGTTTCATAAATGACACCCTAGGAGCCTCTAGGTGGTTTGTTGCAGTATGTTGAGTTGTTTACAAGAAACTAAATCCAAACAAACAAGTACATTTTTCTAATGAGGGCGAGGTCACTTCTGCTTAGACCCGGGTTTTGACCTCTGCTGAGCACCCTGACCCCAACTTTGTTGGAAGTGTCAGAATGCACTGACCGTGCCTCAGATCCTCTCAGTCACTCAGCTGAGCTGCTCCCAGCCGTCATTTAGATTCAGCTTTAGTTTCTGTTACCCTGCAGTGCTTTGTAGCTTCAGAAAGGGCATTAAACACAGGCGTAGAAAGGAACGGTGATTTCAAACAGCATGTTGTCTATTGTTGTATTGTAGAAAGCTTTTCTGTATGGATCTTGTGTTTAGGACACTTACATTTCACTACATTTTTGAAACTGTCAGATGATTTCTTTTATGTGCGGCCGTTTCTCAACATGATGCTGAAATGTTGTGGTCTGGCAGTTAGGTGGTTGTGCAATACATTGGCACCTAAGAGCAGAGCAAGTGAAAGTGATGACACACGGTTGCTAAGACAACATGGTCTGACATCAAAATTCAAAAATACTCCATGCAGCGTAGCGATTTACCAAGTCAGTTTGCGAAGCATTGCTGCTTGGATCAAAATGTTACATGCTTTTTATTAACAGGTGGCACTATCAGTTCCTGTGGCTTCCTGGCCCACATCTAGTTTCACACACTTTAGTGCGATGATTGACAAGCTGAGTAAGACCCTGGATTACAACTTAATCCTCATAATCATGCCAAGGGCACTGATGACATTGCTGGGGAAGTCTCCTTTGACATATTGTATGTCCAAATTATCCTCCTCTCACTCACACTATTTAATTAAGTGATCTTCAGGCTCTGCAGCTTTTACTCAAATCAAGTGCCTTAGGATTGCCCAGTGTAAAGGAGAGGAGAACTCTTCCTCCTCTAAAAACTGGAATAACAATAATCACGTCTGATTATTGTGTACTGTGACGTTTGTTGGTTAATTTCAACACTGTATCACCTGATTCAGTCAGGGTGTCTTAAAAAGAATCGCTGATTTGGATAGCACATGTAGTGCTTACATGAGTAAGTAAGAGTGACAGCGATGCCACAGCATAAAATATCAGCTGTAAGCAGTTTTAAAAGGGTTGATTTGCCACTCCAAAAAAATGCAGATCAATGAAATTCCATAACAGCTGCTCACTTTATTTAGAAATTACATTTACAAAACTCAACTGCACTGTCTCTTTTTGGAAATAGTGTCTCCCTTTACACTGGCTGTAATAGGGATATTACACAGTAGCAGGTGTCCTGCATGAGACGCTGAGGAAATCATAGTATTTGTCTCGAGGATAATGTCTTGCAAGATCGTACGAGTTTGAGTGAAATCTCAGGTTTGGAGGGTATTATTTGGCACTGGTACTTGGTTTTGGCTTCAAGGACTGAAAGCATAAGGATTGGTGAAAACATCATCTATGTGTAAGATCACCTTTTTTGAAATTGGGAAACCTTGTCTTTTCAGCTTATATAGTGATGCATTAGCAACTGAAGTAATGGCCATATGTGCCTTTCATGGCCAAAGTAAAACTATATTTTTTTTAATTTTGGCTTAGATAATCTCTGTGTCACTATATTCATTCTATAGTAAGTACATTATAGTAACAAATATTAGTCTAGTATCTCATAGTGGTAGCTATTCCAGTGGTATTGCACCCATGTTGAGCACCGATTGTGGGCAGGGTCACAGAAGCCAGTCAATGTGTTGACCCATAAATGCCAAGAGCAAAACTTTGCTTTCACACTGATTCAACACCCCAGGATCACAAGAGTCGCATTTTTCATCTCCATGTGATATTGTCAACTCTCAGTCTTGAGTTAATCAGTCGGTTTCCCTCAGTGTGGGCTGTCTGTGTTGCCGCCAGCCTCTGGGCCATGCAGTGGAAATTATTAATGCGGGGATTTATTTATCTAACTGATTTCCTACTAGAAGGGAAGGACTACGGTGGCAGCTGTCGAGGGGCTGAAGGGACAGCAGTACCCCAGTGTTCAGTCCCTCATTACTGCTTTTTAATGAGGAGGAGTGAAGGATTACAGCAGGTTTCGCATCTGCCCATGACAATCTGTGTTTTTCCTCATATCTCTGATGTGTATCTCTGTGTTTCACTGGGGAATCTGTAGGAAGATGGTGAATTGTTTTGAAAACCTATATTGACAAAATTAAGACTGGCTTCCCCTCACATGCTGTAATTTACTTTCACTTTAGTGTATAATAGGGGAATTCTTAACCCCTGTTTCTGTTTTAGCCGTAGATCTGGGTACTTCCCACAACCTCACAAAATGATATAAGCTGCAAACCCCTTTTATCGAAACTCTACAATCAACAATCAATCATCCCTCCCTAACTCGCCTGCTTCTATTTATTTGCTTCTCCTCCTTTGTGAGTGTTATAAAATGATTAAGGGAATTTGAACTATGTGATTATGCACATTATCATTTCATCTGCCTTGAAATGAGCTAGTGCTGATTTAATACCGCAATCCCCCATTTGATAGACAGTTGGGTAGAGTAGAGCCTTTATACTTCTCAAAATCAGTGTGATACCATAATGTGGTGATACGAATCATTTTAGGGTCTCAAGTGGGTAAAATTATGCTGTAATGGTGTGTTTTAGCTATTCCATAACAGACAGCCAAATTTGTCTGAAGGAAGATGTGTGGAAACATTTTCTACCCTGCTGCAACGTGTTGATTTGAGCCCTAATGAAAGTAGACAGAGGACAGAGAAAGGGGATTACAGTTTTGTTATGAAAGCCACAACTCTTGTAGTATCTGTACTTGGCCTTTTTCACACACGTTTGCTCATAGCTGTATTTTTAGGATGTGTTCATTTAAATAATTTCAAAGTGAAAAAAGAACCTTCTTGTTGTCGCCCAACTCACAATCACTCACCCATATACCACAATACCCCCCCTCCACATCACACTACGAAAAATAAAAGCACGTATCTCCAAGCATCAGTCACACAGTTTAATGGAAATATTGTTCTCAGGCAGTGAGCCTCCCACACAGTTTGTTTTCTAAGCATTATCGTTTTACACTCTCTCTCCCTGCTATCTTTCACCAGCATCACCAAGGAAAGCATCGTAGACGTGGAGGCGTTGGTGAGAAAAGTGGAGCAGAAGATCGAGAGCTGTTCCCAGCAGGACGTTGAGCTCCACATCGAGAGGGTGGGCAAACTTTTCAGCAGCCATCACACACAAGAGTTCTTCACACACAGGAATGCAAACACATCGAATACGATGCTGCAGCTCCTTTTCATGCACATATCTAAATAAAAACACTCAAATTAACATTTGGCTGGTATGCACATATATGCACGTACCCAGACAATGGATCGTTCATGATTCATATCGTTCAAGCAGGTGATCACACATCTCCTCACACAGGAACTACACAGGTGTCATGCAAGTATGTAAACACCCACACATGGTAATGCACTCAGCACTCAGCATTCACATGATCATTAGTTTGCTTATATGGTATAGTGTAGTAGTTGCATTTGATGTAGCGAATACATACAATTTGAGGGGTGAATAATAATAGGCTCACACAGTATAATGCAACCCAGTGCAACAGCACAAAGTGTCTCTAAAAAAAGCAAAGGAAACTCAACAACGTCAATGTGATGCGAAATGTACAGCATTGTATTGTTCCCACCACCTGTACATGATTTGTTAGCAGCACTTAGTCACTCACAGACAGATGAAGTTCTATCAGATGAGGCTGTCACTGTCTTTCACTTTGACTTCTGAGGTCTCTGTGTAATCTGCAGGTACTTTCTACTGTCTGAACATCTAATGAAAACGTTGGTATTTTGTCACCCTCTTAATTATAATGCTCTTTGTTTCTATCGCCTCTCAGATTTTTGTCATCAGCCAGGCAGAACCTCGTCTCCCCCTGCAGTTGGAAGATGCTGTCAGGCCTGATGGAGAAGGGGAAGAGGTGAGGATGAATGTAGGGATGAATGAGAGGGCATGAGAAGGCATACTTCACCCAAGATCCTTCAATGCTATTTCCTCCTGTTAATGTGAAGTATTGGCTGACACCCAAGGCTGATCTTATTCAGTCTTCTCAATGAAGGAGAGCCCGACCGATATGGGATTTGGTACCAATTTTAGAGGGGAAAAAATGAATCAGTTTCTGATACAGCAGCTGATGGAGTGAAGAGTTTAGCTGGAATGAAAACAGACATTTTCTATATGGATTGTGCAGCATTTCATCGATATGACTACGCAACGGTACTCAGGAGGCTGCTTTCTTTATGAAATAACTTAAATAATATTTAAACTAAATATTCTTTTACATGTTAAATAATAATATACCAGAAAAAAACAGCCGCATATTGGATAGCACCAATATTATATGATACAATATGTCTGCAATAGGCCAATATCTGCAGATAAATCGGTCAGACTCTACAATGAAGCAATGCACTGCAGTTCACACTGATTGCTGGACATTTTAGTGGCATCAGGAGGTGATTAAAGCCTTCTTAAGGATCTACTGTGTGTTATGTTTTGACTGAAAAAGAGAAAATACAACCACCAACAATTTAGGGAATTGGAATAACATGAACCTCCAATTGTCGTACATTCTTAAGTTGATACTTCTTACTGTCTGGTAAAAAGAGCCAGCATGTAATGCCAATGAGACAGCTCAGCCAAAAAGAAAAAAAACTAGTAGACTCTGTTCCAGACTGTGCTTTAATTTGAAAAATTCTGACAACAACTTTTCAGTATGAGAAACACAAACTGACTCTCAGCGTGTGTGTTTATGAGTCCACTGTCTAAGGCTTATAACATACATATAAAGGATTGCTCCAACTATACAACAGCATAAAAAAATGAAGCCTGGATTTATCAGTATACTTGATGAAAACCAAAATTGTAGCATATCCATGCGTGAACTAACTTCGTCCTTCACAGAGCGAGGATGTTTGCAGTAAGGAGAATAGAAATTCGTGTTTTTGGCAGACTCGAGGATTGGGTAATTAAACCAGGTTGAATTAAACAAGATCAAGAGCAGAATAGCTCACACTGATTAACATCACATTCAGTGACTCGGCCCTCTCCATGCAAACTGGGATCTCATCACACAGTGTTTATAAGAGCCGGCAGCCAGGGTTTAGGGAGCCTTCTGGATTCCAATTAAGGAGATTTGTGTGTCGATGCTGAATCATTTGAGTGAATCGTGATTCATTTAAGAAGTGATTATTTTTCCCACCCACAGTTTAGGTGGTTATTACTGTTTATTAAACTTTGAAGCTTCTGTTTTTTGGGTTGTGAATCACTGAACAGCACGTCAGTTCAATACATGTGTGATTGGTTGGTGATTCAATTCAAAAAGAATTCAGCTTTGTAAATTTGGAACCAGTATGTCATATTGAAAATTGTATAACTTTTAAATAACCATAGATCTGTGAAAACAACTACTGCAGTGTTTTGCCAAACAAGTTGACAACACTAATACAAATGGTTTGGAGAACCAGCTGCAGTCCTCCAGTGCCGGTGGAAATGCTAGGTTGGATGTTTTAAGTGGTGTTCCTGCAGCAATAGTTTACAATAATGTTGCAAACTTTTCTATTAAGAGAGTAAAGCAATTGCATCAACATAATTTGTAATGGATGAATGAATAGCCACATCTCAGCAACTATTATATGTGTGTAGCTGCGGACCCACCATATATTTTTTATGTTTTTATTGTATTTATTTGTTCTTATTCATTCCATTGTTTTATTACTTAAGTGCTCTGTTCCTTATTGTCATTTCATCTGCCTTGCTTTTTTTTCCCCCTTTTTTTTCTCTTTGCGGCATTGTTATGAAAAGTCATATATAAAGTTATATTTATATATCAATTTTTTTATTATTATAATATCCAATATAAAATGTTGTATTAACATATTATTTCATATATGTATCATGAGAAAATTAATAATGTGGGTCCCACCATACCGGAGACAGCTGAGAGTCCGTCCGTGTTTATCCAGTAAGCCAATCTCTGCAGCTGCAGCAGGAGCATCCCAGGTGTATTCTGCAGGGATTTAACATGTCAGTCACACACTTGTAGCAGCACCTGCCCTCCCGAGAGACACGTGCCTTAACAGCCCTGTCTATCTGACTGTCTGCCCGTCTAACCTTTTGTCCCTCTGCATGGGGCTGTTTGGAGCAGGATGTGGCTACGCAGGCTATTAGCTCAAACCCCAGTGGGTTCTCTGAGGAAGCCTGACATCCCTGACCCTGGAAGCAGTGGTTCCTCCTGTGATGAAACATTTATTCTGCCATTTGTTTTTTATTTCTTTCTTTTCTTTTTTAGGGCCCTGTTATTCCACACTGCAGATGTCTTTTGTTGCAATTGACCCTTTAATAGTTGCTACAAGGAACAAAGCATATGTATTTTTGTGTGTGGTACTGATAGCATGGTCTTAGCTTTTAGAGCTGCCAGTAGCTAATATGTGAACTGGAATTTTTATATAACTAGTATTCCATCTTTCCTTATATTTTCTTCCTTGCGAGGTTCAAAAAGCCACTGGCCTTGCCACAATCACTCCTGCGAAAAGAACACAGCAGGCTACATTGTTGAATATTTCATAGTTGGAGGCTTTTGGGTGATGTGATAATGTTTTTTGTTTGCCCTCAGGAGGGCAGAGCTACAGTCAACCAGGACACCAAGCTGGACAACAGGGTGATTGATCTCAGGGTAAGTTGCAACCAGAGCTGAGGAAAAACAAGCGAAAAAACACTGTGTATGTGACAAAGCCCGCAGAGTATTTGTCTTGATGTATCTAAATTCACATGTTCACATTTTAGTCTTGTGTGGTTGTCCGGTACTATTAAAAAAAAGGTGTGTTAGTTTAGAAATCTGAGGCCACACCAGTTTAAATTTACCATTTCCGGGCTAGTTGGCCACCGTTAATCATTAGTTTTATAATGCCCTTTTAAATTTACAAATTCCATACAACAATAAAGTGAATCTAATCTCTTACATTTCATATATTAATATATTAATATATTAAAACTTTAAAAAATTAAAACGATGGAGGAGAAATGTGAAGCAGCTTGTCACATTTCAGGGAAAGCAGACAGCGTTGAAGCCACTGAGTACTCTGAAATGCAAAGCAAACCTATGCACCTTTTCAAAGTGAAAAAGACAGTCTGTGATTTAATGGGCTAATGCTGTGAATCCTTTGCTGTGTAGGAGATGTGCTAAACCTATGCGAGCAGCAGTGGAGGCTGAGGCGCATAGTGTCTCATTGTTTTGATCTGTGCCTCCCACGTGTATGCAACAGGCAGGAAGGCATTCACACCACAGCACAGAGACACGTAGTTCACAAGCCTCACAACAACACCTGTTTCTGTAACACCGTGCACTTTGAGCTCATGGGCAAGGGTCTGTCATCAGTTTTGCACTTTGGAGCCCAGTGAAGCTATAAAGTGGTTCCCACACGGACTAACAGACGCTCCAAAAGGGAACCATAAACCACCTCTAATAATAATTTAGTTCCTATGGAACTCCCCTTGTAACTTGACCATCCTCAAACATGAGGCGCTTCACACTAAAACACAATGGAAAAGTTTAGTTGTATTCATTCTAATGTAGTTTGCATAAGACAGCAGGACTCACCGGTCAGTCATCCTGACTATTTAATTGGTGTTGAATGGAGTCGAAACAAATCCCTGTCTAAGACGCTGTATATGACAGTCGGTCCTCAGGTGTACCATATGTTCATTATAGGACTGTAACTAACGATCATTTTTATTACTGAATAACCTGCCAATTATATTCCCAATCATTTAATAGCTTGGTCTATAAAACACAAGAGAATTGTGCGAAATGCCCATCACAGGTCTGTAAAGCCCAAGCTTCCAGTTGCTGATTTTCTTTGAGTAACAGTAACATTTACTACCACATAAGACAAAGAAAAACAATTAAACCTCACTTTTTGAAAGCTGGAACAAGTGGCTATTTGGCATTTTGCCAGAAAGTAATTGATTTTTAACATGGTTTCTTATTAATTTTCTTTTAATCAATTAATTGTTTCAGCTCTATTGCATTTTGTTGTGCTTGATTTATTCTTGTATGAGGAGAATTTTCATACTGTTGTTAGGTCCCATAACACCTCCATATTACCCCTGTTACTGACTTAGTAGATTGGAAAAATTCAAAGAAGCTTCACACATAACACTCAAATTTCAGTACACAAACTTTAACGGAAAAATAATAAATTTCTTCAAATGTTATTTAAAGAAATAGCAACTGGCTGATTAACAGATATGTAAATTTGGGGCTTTGAAACCTGCCTGTGGTCCACCGCAGGCAGGTTTTCATGCCAGTACTGTGCCACTGAGAGGTACATGAAGTTTTTATGAGGCCCCCCACACTAAGGACCCCACCACCAGGAAGTGCCAGTTTGAGAAGACACCAAGTATTACCAACCCGCCCACCTTTACACCTACGGATGTGCTGTAAACAAGAAGTGTGTTCCAATTTTTGAATACGTTTTGCAGAGATTGGTTTTAGGTCTGAGATTCCAGGTATAACATGGGGCACAGCTCAATGTGTTATACATGACACAAATGAGTCATAGGAGTTTTGTGGTTAGCATGGTTAATTTGGTACACTCCTTTTTTAAGATTATGGTTTTAAAACAGGGAACTTTCACATTTTTCTCCACTTCTTCTTTTTGCAAACTATTCAGATTTAAACTGATGGAAAAGTTTCAGCCAGACACCCCTGAAGCATTGTCTGCGGATTAATGAGCTTGCCCGTATTTAGGCATTATCACCTTTCCATTCTGCCAAATGTGAGTCAGACAAGGCCTATTCAGGACTGGACAGGCACTAGAGATGGGGAAAAAAAGCAGGAAATGAAACATTTTAATTAACACAGATCTGTGTGTCGTGTATTGAAAGGACCAGGGGTCTGCCTTCATGAAGATGTATAATAAATGTAGCTGAAAGTCAGTAAAGCTCAATTGTAGAAATCTGTGGTCATTTGAGATGAGTCAGGCGACAGAGCATGTCAAAGCCCAAGAGAACACTCCCTGAAATCGACTAACTGTTGCAGTTTTCGGGGGTTTTGGGGCTTGTTACAGTAATCTCCTGTTTTAGGTTGAGCAGTTCGTCTCCCCGCCTTGGTTTCGGCATTTACATTCATAATGATAGGTTTAAAGTTCCTCGGGCTCTTGCTGGGTTTGAATGCATGTCTTTCCCTTGCCAGCAAATAAATGTTTTACCCTTCATGTCTAGAGGAGTTGCATGAACAGAAATTGGCAGTCTTGTGTTCACACATCTGGTATGATTGTGTAATAAATCCAGTGAATCATGAAGTGTGGTAAAGCCTCTCTGTGCGCTGTTGTGTGTTTGTGTGTGCATGTACCCTCCCACAGACGACCACAAGCCAGGCCATCTTTCGCCTGCAGTCAGGAGTGTGCCAGCTCTTCAGAGATACCCTCACCAAAAAGGGCTTTGTGGAGATCCAGACCCCTAAAATCATATCAGGTACAAACAACACTCTTTGTCACGTTGATGACTAACATACACTGAACCATTTTTCATTAGATGTTTCAGTAGCGCCACACGTTTCCATGTCACCACCCACAGGTGTCCTGTGACTCATCGGGTGACAGTTGTGAGGACTTCCTGTATTCACTGTCCTTTTTGTTTTTTTTCCAAATCAAGAACCAAACTTAAAGTTCAGTTAAAGCCTTCAAAACGGTTTCAGTGAGTGACAGTTTCTGAACCCAAACAGTGTTGCTACAGTATGTTCAAGCAGACAACAGACAAGAAGGTGTTAGGTCTAAAACAATAAACCTCTTTCTATCAGGATTTTAATCCAGCCCAATGGGAATTTTGATGCATCGACCAACTTTCACACCAGCTCCTCTGCTCTCACACTTCCACACAATGCCCTTCTAATTTGACAGCGGTGGTCTCTCTTAAGCTTGCCCCCAAAGACCTCATCTTACTTTTCTGAAAGAAGGGAAGAAAAAAATTATTTTTAGTTTTAGTTTTTAGTTATTTCCAGCTTGTCTCTCTTCTCCTGTTATCTTTTTCTCAACATCAGGTGTGAGAGATGACTTGTTATTCTACATGTATACAAATTATCTTGTGATAAGCCTTTCCACTCTTTATGAAAGCTGTATGTAAGTGAATAGGAGCAGGATTTGATATAAAATCATCAGTTAACAGTAATTTTGAGACTTTGAGAAGAACTTGTTTTTTCTCACCAGTACATAGTGTTGTACACAGATCTCCAGTTCCCAGGCCACGTGCTTCTTAGATTTGAACTGTGGCGAAACATGCAACACTCTCACTTCCTCTTTTCTTCAAGAGCCAATGATATCGATTTATAATGGTACAAACGAAATTCAAAACTGCCGCTCTTATATTTTGGCGGCACGTGTAAATCAACATGGTGTGCTTTTTTTTTTTTTTTTTGCGAAAAACCGCATCTTCCTGCCGACACCCATGGCACATTCACTGAACAGTTTGTGCTGTGTGAACCCCCACCCTGCTACTGACGCCATGAGACTGTTAGATAATGCCCACTGACGTCAAAAAAGGAACCGCAGATGTGTTCTATAAGTCTGGCCTGTCTCACATCATTTTGAGGCTTGTTTATGTTTGTTTTGAAAAACATTGTAGACAACTGTATGTAGATTTTAATTGGGCAAATGTTAAAAAAGCAGTCAAAAAGTATGCACAGTTTCTGTTAGCCCGAAAGCTGTCATAGAAATTTTTTTATTGGCAAAAAAGAGAACTATTATAGTAAGTTTGACATTTAGAGTTCCAGCTGAAACATCAACTGAACAGGTTGTTTAGATCATCATTAGATTGGGGGTGGATATCTGAGTTTGTGAGAAACCTCAGTTTCCTACAAAGTTGATGCTGAGTCAGGTGCATTTGTCAAAAACTATATCAACCTTTGGCAACCAATTCTAAAAGTTGTCTTTTTCCACTTCTAGCTGCCAGTGAAGGTGGAGCAAATGTCTTCACGGTGTCTTACTTTAAAACCAGCGCCTACCTGGCCCAGTCTCCCCAGCTCTACAAGCAGATGTGCATCTGTGCTGACTTTGACAAGGTCTTCTGTGTGGGTCCAGGTAAGACTGCCTCCCATCTGTCCCATCACACATTCATTTGCTTATGGGAAGCGAGTGAAATGAGCAGCAAGAGTGTCATGAAAACTGTAGACCCTATTAACGGAGATGACAGTTTTAAAATGGCTCCAAATGCATTTAGATTGTTAATCTTTAACAGACCTCTCTCTGTTGCTATCACTGTGGTCAGAGCTGCTGTAGAGCTTAGTGTGTTAGTGACACAGTGGGACTTGTAAAAGACTTTATGGTGCTGTACTGGGTTTAAGAGACCCCGCAGCTCTTTAGGTAAGCAAACACTGCCACCATCAGATTGAATACATACATGTAACAATACAAAACGCAGAAAAACAAAACAACCTGTTGACAGCCGTCCTTTTTAGTTTGCTATATGCATCTGATCTCAAGATGAATCACCATTCTCCACCAAGACGAAATTAATGTGGGAGAAGGATGCACATTCAGTATTCTACTGACCGTACTGAGGTCTTTGTTTGCTTCTCTCTAACTCCACCAGAGAAATCAAAGGGCTTAAGGTCATCGTTGTTTCTAAAGCTACAATTTACTCACCACTGTTGCCTTAGTTACGGTCGCACCAATTCAGCAAGAAAGGAGAATCAACTCTCCTCGAAATCCCAGTAGCCAGAAGTGCTGTGTTTAAACGTTGCTTCCACAGCTATGTTGCCACCATCTGAAATCTGCTAAAGTGGTCCACCAGGGAAGAAAGCGATGTAAACACAAGGCTGGTGTTAATTACAGAGGAGCAAATATCATGCTAGTTATGTTTGGAGTCTGTGTTGTTTCAGTAAATGCATGCAGGGGTCAGATGCTTAAAACTGTGCAGATCAAGACTAAAACTCTGTGTGCATACAAAATCAGAAATATGCATTTATAAAGCCATGCATATGCATGGTTGTGTTCTATAAATCTCATTGTGAAATGATGTGCATGTGCACGTGCTTGATTTCCACTTCATTCAGCCATATATGGGTGTAGGCACACCTTTGATCAGCTGTTTGCATGCATACAGACGTCTTCACCTGTCTGAAGACCCGTAAATTCAAAAGAACAGGAAGAAAGAATTTCACATTAGTATGGCTCAGAGCAGTCATTCGTATGTACAACCATAAGAACCATATATGTAGAGATAATAATGTCATTTTCATCATACAAGTAACTGCAAACAGTCTATGCTAGTGATATCAGTGAGGATTTAGTTTATCACACACACTTAGCAAAGTGCTTCACAGTATAAGATACAATGAAACGAAAGATTAAAATCTCCCAAAAACACCACCACTAGTAAAAATACTTACATACTTACTTACATATTAACACATTGTCCTGATTTTGTTAGATTTCATGGGATAATGCGCCATTTGTGGCCATATTGTTAACTTGGTGTTAATGTACAGACATTAATATGACGTCTTCATCATTTCAGTTTTCAGGGCAGAGGACTCCAACACCCACCGTCACTTGACTGAGTTTGTGGGTCTGGATATTGAGATGGCCTTCAACTACCATTACCATGAAGTGATTGACTCCATCACTGACACCATGGTGCAGATCTTCAAGGGCTTGAGAGACAAGTAAGATTAGGAATTACACTGTGGAGCTCAGACTTCTCGTGGTATTTAGTTATACTCAAACTTTCTGTGAGTTAAAGTGATGATTGCACCAAAAATGAATTAAAATGACATGTCATAGAGGCTCAAGTTGTGTACTCAACAAGAAGTACATTTCGACAGGATGAGTTTCCTGGGATGGAAATTCATCACAGGGCAAAAAGTCAAAATATTGTATTTCTTAGTAAAACTATTTCAGCTGCTGAATCCATAATAAGTGTCATCAGCCACTTCTGTCAACTCTGCTGAAAGTCTTTCCACTCACTCTATCGACAAAAAATGTTATGATGTGGCTTTATTGCCTCCTAGTGGTGAAAATCGGTGCAGCATGTGTAGAGAAAGCAGAATGATTTTCTGTTCATGATGAATGTAGGACTGAAAACAACAGTCGGTAAAGCTCTTTTCATCCATGAAACCCCTCAGCATTTCCCGCTTCAAGTATCCTCAAGTGTGCTTCAATCCAGGTACTTTTTGGCGTTCAACACTTTAATATGCCTTTAGTTTTTCTGGCCATTGTGGCAGCACTGCTGAAGGACAGAACTGACTGGAAATTACACCAATCAGGTGTGCTTGGGATTCTGTAGCATTGTTGGAGTTTTACCCTGTAAGCCATTTGCACTGGAATTTAGGGAGATTTGGCTGATTTTAAAAAAATGCAATAACATTTATGAAGAAAAGTATAAGAGGCTTTACACTGGACAGACAAGGTTATGTCTTAATTTTTTTGCTACTTAAAAAAAACCTTTTGTTTGTTAAAATAGCTATATGCGTGTGGGAGGACTGTTCCACTGATGGGTCAGATACCAAATTAGCTGCAATTTTTCCCCTTGAACTTGTACTTTAAATGTCAAGTCACTGTTAGTTTCAGCTTGTGACCGCTGTTCCTCTTTCTCAGGGCTGTCTGACTGTTAGGCTTTTGTTCTCACGACTTTCCAGACTGTTCCTCCTTGACGTATAAATCATTTTGCATGTGCGTTTGACTGATGTTGCACTTGAGTCAAACATGACCTGACCTTAGTGGAGCTCGGTTAGTTTCTGTCTCATGTTGCCTTGGAAAACTATTAGAACACTTATTGTTCTTCTGCTCTTTGTTCAGCCCAGTATCAGCCTCATTGTAATAGTGTTTCTATTTGTGATCTAGCATTGTCTGTTATCCGTTACCACTATCTTTGTTTTGCTCTGTTTATAGTAAGACAGCATGTTTGAAATTTAAATTCCGTCCAAAGAAATTGTTAAAATAGTAAAATAATATCAGTGTGTGGGCTGTGACCCTTATCAGGTTAACTACTAAAGGCAAGATTTTCTGGCATTCGTCTTAGTGTGTGGGTAGGAATTCTGAACCCTGGTTAGTGGGTTTTAATGTGTGTGTGTGCGATGCGTGTCTGTCTGCATCAGCTTCCAGACCGAGATCCAGACGGTGAACAAGCAGTTCCCCAGTGAGCCTTTCAAATTCCTGGAGCCCACTCTGCGGCTGGAGTACACCGAGGCCCTGGCCATGCTGCACGAGGCCGGGGTGGAGATGGGTGATGAGGATGACCTCAGGTCAGAATACATCACACGTTCTGTGTCCCACATCCCACTCATTTTGACAGATTTTTTTAATTTAATGAAAGCAGAAATAAACGTTGACATAGCTTTTCAGAGAGGAAGTGAAACATCAGACCAATAACAGCCTTTTTAAGATTCAAGTCACTGTTGTGATCTGTGCTGTTTTATTTAACTATTCACAACACAGTTTAAAAATGTATAGAGGTTTTTTGTCATGCTGTGGGTATAAAACCACAAGAGTAGAATTCTATACTTGCTGGAAAGTTGCAAGATACAGTTACCAGTTTTAAAGTGAATGCCTTTTGTTGCCCTTTAGTACGCCCAATGAAAAGCTGCTTGGCCGTCTCGTCAAGGAAAAGGTATGTTCAATTGTGTTTCATTCATTTAATGTCAGAGTGTAAAAATGGGAATATTGCTTGACTGGACAGTGGCTGTAGAAAAGTGTAAGCAGGTTAGAAAAGTCTGTGTAGTTAAAGTATTAAAAAGCCATTCAATGATGGGTTGCAGCATTAAAATCTGCACTTATCAGCTGTCTGCCTTCATCAGAGTGCTCCAAAAAAACCAAGGTCATCTAATTATGAAGTAATAACACGTGACCCCACAGTGTTCAGTGTTGCATCATTAATCTGTATGTGTCCCATAATAGTGAGGATAGTGAGCTCTAGTTTCAACCAAGCACCATAACAGTAAGGTTTATTTCAAGTAGTTCATTATGCAATCATTACACAGGTCCACAGGTATCTGATTACTACTGACCATATGCATCACCTCTCTTTCTTTCCTCAGTATGATACTGACTTTTATGTGCTGGATAAGTACCCACTGGCTGTTAGACCCTTCTACACGATGCCTGATCCAAGCAACCCTGTAAGTATCTCACATACTCATACACATAAACAGCGTGCACAGTCATTGGTTACATTCTCAGAAATGTGCAGTAACAAATGTTACGTAAATGTTTGCCACTGAATTTCGTGGTTGACCTGTGGTGAAACTTGCATTGAGGCCAGAGAGCAGATAGTTAAGACTCTTCAGCCCTTTGTCCTTTCACTGGATATACTGGCTTATAAACAGCAGTAAAGCTCTCTCCAGAGTGGTCATGAAGAATTTAGTACTACTAGTTATGTAGTCCCTTGTTGACTTGCAGTCCTTTTAACTTGTTGAACTTGTTTAACCTGCTGAATTCTTGATCTCGTAAGTGACATTTCCTTTTATTTTTTATCCAGAAATACTCCAACTCATATGACATGTTCATGAGGGGAGAGGAGATCCTGTCTGGAGCTCAGAGAGTCCACGATGCCCAGCTGCTCACTGAAAGAGCCATCCATCACCAAATTGGTAAGAGTAGGGGGTGAAGAGATGTCTCTGTAAAAGGCTTATTAAGTGATCTACATATGAATTCTGTCTCCCTCTATTGGGGACCAGTTTGAATTACAACTACAGACAATGTGTTGGATTGATGGTTTGTAAATGTGTGTGAAAGCAAGCAATAAAATTGAAGCTATTACAAGTTTTTCACAACTGAACTTATTTGTTTTTCTGATACTACAGATCTGGAGAAGATCAAGGCGTACATCGACTCCTTCCGGTATGGAGCTCCCCCACATGGTGGTGGAGGCATTGGTAAGGAATATCTATTTTTGAGGAACCTACAGGAGACAGAACATGTTCTGTTTTACTGACCACAGATTAATTTAAAGCTTACATTTTAAAAACCTGCTGTAAGTGAATATAGCTCCAGGTGTCTTGTGGGCTTTTTAATAGCAAATAACAGATTTATTGAGTTTTGAGTTGAAATGTCATCCCTCACAGGCCTGGAGAGAGTCTGCATGCTGTACCTGGGTCTCCACAATGTGCGTCAGACCTCCATGTTCCCACGTGACCCTAAGCGCCTGACACCTTGAACCCTGAACCTTCACGAGCAAACCCAGTCATCATTGGACTTAACACACATACTTTGGTGATGGGAAACAATACTAATCCACAATCCAGAAAAGGGAGTATGGTAAAGGAGCTAGTGCCACCCTATGACTCTAACGTGCCACTATGATTAACCATTAAGATGAAAATGAAGCAGTTGCAGCAGTAGTCGTACTTTATTGATTGGTGTACATAGTTGTCCCAAAACAACCAATAACAGAGGCATAAAAGAGAAAGAGGTGTTGGCCAGTGGTTTAAGGAAGCTGCTGTAAAGCTGCACACACATAATTCATCTTTTAATCAGTTAGTCAGTATTTGTCTCAGTTCTTTTCTATGGAGATGTTAAACAACTACCTTAATACAGCTCTGAGTCCCTCCTAATACCAGCATAGACTAAGGACTAATGATTGTGGTCTTCAACTGTAACTCCAGGTGTTTTGTATGTTATTAGAGGACTAAAGACATAATAATTAAATAAAAAACCTCTAAAACCATCAATTACTTGTGTTACTGTGTTGTGTATGTTTACTGCTTCTGAATTCATTAATGATAATGTTTGATACAGTAGTTCACAGAATGATAGATTGTTTAAATGTGCACATTTTATGTCCCTCCCTTTATAGGCTTAATGTAATCTAATATAGAATATATGACCTACTAAATTACCATTGCTAAATAAAAAGGGCACAACAAAATATTAAATAATTATATAGAAGGCAAGGCTTTAGTTTCTCTCCTCATTCACAGTTGGGTAAGTAAGAAGGCTTTCATTCACTGCCCTGATTCAAACAGTGCAAGAATAAATCAAAGTGCTCAAGTGTAACTGACATAAAAAATACATGTTGTTAAATTCATAGGATGCTTCATTAACGGCTATCAATGTTGAAGTTCACACGTACACGTATCATTATGTTTCATGAAACACAAACATGATATCCTGTAAGTCCAAATGTATAACAAGATATGCTCTGGCTTATTCAGTAGCGGATCCACTGATTTGAAGGATGAAGAGGAAGATTTGAACAATATCAATGTAGAGAGAGAGAGCTCCGTAGATATACTCCTCTGGGCTGATGGCCAGCTCCCGATTTCCAATAAGAAGCTGGGTGTTGTATACTAAAAACTAACAGAGACAGAGAAGACGGGACAAAGTTCAGTCATCAAAAAAAGAAGGAACATAGGTTTGTCTGTCTGTTGTCTTTGTCGAGTGCTGTATGGGGATCTAAACCATCACAGATTTAGACAAAATCTGACAAAACTGTCATTAACCATTAAATAGTAGTAGTCTTAGCACACTTAATATTTGCTAAGTAACACTAAACGCCAAGTACAGCTGAGACCGATGGGAATGTCATTAGTTTTAGAGGTATACAAATTTATTGTATTGGTCAAACTTTGGGCCTAAAAAACCCACCAGTCATTTAGATGCATCCTGTGGGAACCGTCAATGTCTGTAAATGCTGGTGAAAACTTTGACCAACTAGTGGTCCTAGAGGAAAAGTCAGGGGATCATCGAAGTTGATAGGGGTACATTTTTTTAACAACCAGCCATGAAGTAGCTGTTGAGATATTCCATGCTTGTGGACAGAGCAACATTGCCTCGAGCATGGCTAAAAATATCTAAATATAATATGAAAATGTCATGAAATTTTATGATCATATTGAATATCACCAGAGGCTGAACCCTTTACATTTTGGACAAATCTAAAAGATGAATTAATTTATTTAAGTTTCCTGAGGACCTTCATGATAAATTGTTGCACCAACATCAAGACAGCCTGTTGTTAGGTCTGTCGAACATTGGATATTTCCATGTGTAAGCAACATTATGCCTCTTTCTTTTATTCCACAATAACCTTGTATTACCAAGCTCAAAAGCCCTCCTTGAATTCATGTGAGTGTCGACTCACCAGAGTGTAAATGATGGCTCCAATTGCAGCGTAGAGCATATGCAGCCAAGGGACCTTTCGAGTGACATAAGAAAATGCAGAGGCCAATGTGAAATCAGTCATACATATACACCCAACTGAGCTGCTACTCCTCACACTGAGAAACATGAGTAGAGAGAGAATAAATTAAAGAATTTGACCAAAGAGTCCTCACGTATTGGAAGGAGAGGACGACGGCTGTAACAATCCCAATGATCATGAGCAAAACGGCAGCAATGCAGAGAAATCCCCCACAGGAGGTGAAGTCCACCTGTAATGAGAAACAAGTCATTAAGAGGATGAAAGCGAAGTTGATATGCTTCAAGCCACATGAAAGAGCAGTCGAGATAATTTGACAGAGGATCAGAATTGGGTAAAAAAAAAAAGAAATAAAGAATGTTTGGGGTGGATGTGTCATGTACCAGCCGAAAAATGTAACCGATTCATCTCGAGTTGCATCAGACAGAGAAGTTGGATTCACATCTTATCTCAAAATGTTATAAATATTTAAAGGAACTCAGTGCCCCATTGTAATGTGAGACAAAGGCGTTCTTTTACACTGACAACAAAGACATCCTCTGACAAGCCACGGGCTACTGAGCTACAGAGACACAGTTTACAGCTCCATCTACCTTGGTTTGGAAGCAGAAGATTGTGACAGCTATACAAACTACTGCTGTTATTCCCATGGCGAGAAACACTGCTTTTGTTTCATAATAGCTGTAAAAGATAGATATAGTGATTAAAAATGTAAAATATAACACATCAAAATGGACTGTATTTGCGGTGTATTGCCTGAGTTGGAGACGTAAACAAACCTCGAAATTGTTCCAGACATGTAAGACAAGGCGAGAGTCTGCAAGATAAAACATGAGAACAGTGTGGAACAGAGTAGGTTTGGACCTTTTTCAGGTTTTTTTTTTTAGTTTTCTTCAACTCACATATTATATCCCTCACAATATGTTTTAAGTTTTGACACATGGATCTGGTGGACCACAGACTACTGTCTCGTTCTCCAACAAGCAATACTTACAAATACTCCCAGCAGCACAAGATTCCATGGGAAACGCCTCCTGAACACAAATTGTGATGAATATTTTAAAATCTATACAAACAGAAGCATCATAACCGGTTATGAATATTTAAATATGGCATAACATTTTTGAAACTATTGTCTAACTTAGTCGCACAGGCCAGGGCCATGCTTACCTCGGCTCTTTGCAGCAGAGGAGGATGCAGTAAACCACAAAATAAACCACTCTATGGAGAGACAAATCACAACAATTGTTACTGTATATAACACAGCTATTATTCTCATGACATGATGATTCTGGGGAGTTGCTCTTTTCGTTTTGGTTAATTTAGTTGCACTGACAGCTAGAGTGTAACTCACAAAGATGCCCAGTAGATGCCAGGGTATCTGATGACAAACAGCCTCACTGGGTCACTATGAAAGCAAACACATAAGGGATCACTCAGGAGCAGACTGTTCTTCACCCTCCCGTCAGATTACGCAAGTGAGATGAAATATTAGACTGGGATGAGCAGGGACACTTACACAAATGTAAAGACAGCAACAACTGAAAAGGTGACGGCAAGCTGTGCTGCTAAAATTAAGTAAACCTGCCCACAAACACAAAACCAAGCAGTTCCGTTGAGCATACAAGAAGACATTTCAGTGGCTGTATAGATGACATAAACAGGCATTGTAAACAACAGAAAAACACACAGTAAAAGCCTCTGTGTGACATAATGAATGGTGAAAAATCCTTACCTTTCTAATGAAGGCATGCCGAATAGATGTGCTTTCCCATTGGGTGTTTAGAAAATCCTCCATGTCCCCTGCAGATTTGAGAATAATAAAGTGGTGATTTATACTGCTTGCACGTGGGAGCTAATCTAAATATAAAGCAGTATAAAGTCCTGTATCATTCCCTCTTAACCTTGGTTGGATGCATTCACTCCAGCAGACAGAGTTGGTATTGTAGTGGGCACCCCAGATGGAGAGAAGCCAGGGGCTGCCCACATGCCGGCTTGAGGGTAGACACCCTCCTGGCCCCAGTAGCCAGGCGGGCCGGAGTAAATGCCAGGACTGGGGCTGTAAGATGGAGGTGGTGGAAGAGGGGAGCCATGTTGTGGCTGGTGGGGGAAGTTTACATACTTAGGATGGTGCAGCGCATCCTCATAGGGTGGAGGATTATCAATTTTAGACGTCATGATCTTGCTGGAGCACGTTGAAGAGAGGGTAAATGGTGATAAAGTACATTTGAGTTTTAGTGGTGGTATGACACATATAAAGGGTAAACACATAAGCTCCAGCTACTCATGTCTGGTTAGTGTGTTATTCAATTATGTACCTATTTCTTTCATAGTTAAAATTACTAAATAAAATCAGGCTATTATATTATTATGCAAAAACTACAACACAGTTAAAAACACTTTGTAACAAATGTGTTAGTCCAAAATTAAAGTTAAAGTTCTGTATTTATCATTTGCTGGAAAAGCCTATTTCCTTCTTTTTTCTTTTTTCTTTGTTACCAATTTTTTTATTGGTTTTCCCTTTTGCATCCATTATGGGGGGAGACATCACCCATAACAATCTAGTACTGTTGATACTGCAGGACACGTCTATTCACTGAGGTAATCACATATGTATTATAAATGTACATACATTTACATTCACAGAGTGATGTGGAATGAAATACACACATAAATGGTGTGAATATTACATAAAAAGAAATGTATACTCAGGAGAACCCACAGATAAAACACGATGCTGTGCCCTATAGCCAAAACTTTCAAACACAATTCAATCGGAATTTATAATAAATCGATTTTTTAAAACCTCCATATGATCCTAATTATAACCACGAGCTATTTTTGCGTACTTGTAATAAATAAAATAACCAGTGAGACTCTGAATGCGCATTACAGTCTAATCTGAATAAATACATTCGATGTAAACAAAAAAAGGGAAAGAAATAAAGATGTTTTTGTACTCACCTGGTGGGTTCAGCCTTAGATGGGAGCACTGTGCCCTTTAGTCTTCTCTCTCCTTGGAGCTTTGCAGACTTGCACCACAGGAGGATGGCATCTTTGTAATAGGATCCGTTCACTGAAACTCACACTGTCACCGTCTCAGAAAGCATGGAGACTCCTGTTGCTCCTAATCAAAATAATGAAAAATATGACAACACAATCGCACCGACTGTTGGGTGTACACACCTTTAGTTACTACTCCCAACATTTAGTTTCTTTTGTTCTTTTTTAAGCTGTCATTCTGATATTTTTTTTTTTCCATAGGCCTATAACATTTGTCTTCTACATTGACCCAGATGTTGGAGCCCACTGTGTGCTGTCCCAGTTTGAGCTGTAGTCCAATGTTGATCTGTATCCCACCAGGAACGTTAGGCGTCGCTAAATTATTTAGAGGTCGACCGAAACCTGTCTCGATTCCATATTGACGCCATACATGCTCATATTTTGTATAAATTAATGTGGAATACATGTGTGCATGCCAAAAACATAGAGTAGTAGGCTGAAGGCTGGGGTAAAGCCTTAAAATGATGTCTTTTTTAGTAAGAATGTGTTTTTTGGCCATGGAAATGTGAGCGGGAGTAAGAAAAGATTAAAATAATAGGCTCTAAACCTAAAATGAAGTCACAATAATAGCAATTAAAAGGTCACACGATTTAAGTTAATGTTTCTGTGAACACATCAAGAACTTAGGTCATTTTTCACACGTTAGTTTCTTTTTTGTCTATATAAATATACTGTCATTGCTGAAAATTGATGGTTCCACGCATAATCTAATATGATTACATGTTTTGCAATTTTTTTTAATACATATATATTCCAAACAACGACAACAGTAACGTAAAAGACAACGTTTCTTGAAGCAACATCGCACTGGACTTAAATGTGATAGAGATAAAATATAGATTTAAAATGTTTTGAAATGTTTTTAACATTAAGTATTTTTTTTCAATTTACAGTTCCCCGATCAGGAGCCGATCATTAAACACACACAGTTTCTAAAACAGCAGCTTAAATAGATAGATAAATAAATAAATAAATAAATAAATAAATGTATCTCCTCGCTTCCGGCATCGGCGTGTCGCTTGACACGTCATTACGTCGTGCTCGGAGGCTATGGCGCTTCCTGGATGGACCGTGGACTGGACGCTGGTTGCCACCGCATCTTTGCTGTGTTTCTTCTGTTTATGTGTTCGCTACAGGCGAACAGGACAAGTGTTTGGGAGGAAACTGCTGAGCAAAGCAATGGCCCGCACGGAGAGGCCGTTGTTCCGAATCGCGTGAGTACAACATGGCCTTCCTGAATGACACACAATGTTTTTGTCATCGTAGTAATTCTCATTAGCGTAGCTCAGCAACATCTAGCCGCTGTTATTAGGAGAGGCCCTCCCACAAATATGTTGCAATTTGATATTGCTTTGCCATTAAACCACAAATACAAGCACCAGAAATTGTGGTCTTCAACCTTACTGTTCACTGCTTTATTCGGCATATTTATTCGAGCCAAAAACTTACATTTTAAAGAGCACCTGGTCTTTTTTTTTTGTCAAACAACTTCTACTTATAGATGGTGAAACTGTCTCATAATGAATGCTGCATCCTGGAACACAATTTTACCAAATAGGAGAAAAAAAAAAGTAGTATTTTAAATGAATGAATGTAGCTATATCTTGGTAGAACTTTGGCCACGCTAAGTTTATTACATATCTCACTTGAAGTAGTCTTTTGACAACATAGTGTGGTTAGCATCATCAACCCCTTTACTGCCGGACACAGTGTTTCCTATCCCCTTGTCTGGACTGTTCCCCAGGTACACGCTCTACACGAGGACCAGGCTTGGCTACATGTACTACAAGAGGCAAATGAGGAAAGCCCGAGAACATTACCCCGCTGGACACTCCACAGCTCAGCCCATGGAGTTCAATGGTATGCTGGATTTTACTGTTTGCCATCGTCATACACTGGTGCTCATATGCTGGTTACTGTGGGGCGATGCCACGGCGTCGTATGTTGTGCATACCTTTTTCTATTTCTGATATCTTTGTCTGCCCACAGGTATCAAAATAATTCCCATCTCGGTGCTGTCTGACAACTACAGCTACCTTGTGATTGACACAGCCTCCAGTGTCGCAGTAGTCGTAGACCCTGCAGACCCTCAGACAGTCCAGGTGAATGCCTCCACCGTCAGTTGTGTGCATGATGTATAGATACCAATTAAAGGGGGCTTTCGGATCAATGTTACCATGCAGAAAATGACCCTTTCTGTTCACTACGGCTATAGCTTTTGATTGTCAATAGCTGTGATTGCAGTGAATGAGCTTAGTTGTGTAAGTGCATTCTCAGCAGCGTCCGTTACAAGCTCAAGTAAGTTCCATACTGTGTCAACAGTCTGGAGGTATTTTGCAGCTTGATGGGCTTTTGAATAAAATGCTGCTCAAGAGTTGTTTTATATGGCGATAAAGGTTTTAACAGCGCTTGTAATTTTTTTAGGCAGTCCTTGAGGAAGAGGGAGTGACGTTAGAAGCAATACTCTGTACACACAAGCATTGGTGAGTTATATAGTTTTTATACATACATATTACTTAAATGTGTGGTTTGTTTTTAAGGTTTTATACATAAAAAAAACATGAGAGGATGGGGATAAATATCCCAAGTGTGACAGATTACAAATTCTAAATATCTAATCTGAGGGAAACACCCACAGTAATTTTTAACATGACATGTATCTGATTATCTTATACATTCTCTCATGTTTTAAAAGGCTTAATGTAGATTGAAGGCCAAAACAAATACACCGTTTTTGAATGCGTCCACAATACTGGCAGGCCTCTGCTTTCTGTTCCATGTGCAGGGATCACAGTGGGGGAAACAAAGGGCTGAAAAGGCTTCACAGCTCCTGCAGAGTTTATGGAAATGCAGCTGATAACATTCCTGGCCTCACGCAGTAAGTCCCTGCTTACACAATATAGCACACTGCTTTCCAACAGAATCAGTATGACTGTACTGAGCCCTGTCTTGTTCCCTCTATCAGCACTCGTAGCAGCTGACTTCACAGTAAATTATCATGGTATGATAAACTGTTCCGTTATGTCTGGGGGAGGGGCTTGTGGCCCAAGAATGGAGGTCATCTTCAGCTCGACAACACCCAAAACACTGGACTAAAGTGTATTTTACGCAATGACAGTGATTGATTTGACCAAGTGCATTTAAACACCAAAGCGATTTCAAAGAAGGGCTAGAGAACCTGTACATACTGCATATTTACACTGTTCATAATAAATCAATTGGCTCTGCTTGCCTGATTGTCCAATGGTTTGGTAGGAGAGTTACATCAGAGCTGCTGCATTGTCCATACATTTTCAGGTTTCCTTTGATTTGATTGTGTAACACATTAAATAAACACTACACATTCTCCTTACAGTAATTGTATTTTTTGTCTGTCTTTTACAGCCCTCTCTCGCACAAGGACTCAGTGACAGTTGGCTGTATGCACTTTAAGGCCCTCTTCACCCCTGGACACACAGTGGGCCACATGATCTACCTCCTCGATGGCCGGACAGTCGGCACCCCCTCCAGCCTCTTCTCCGGTGACCTGGTGTTCCTCTCAGGATGTGGTGAGTTACAAGAGAAAGGGACCCATAGAAATAGTCATATAGAAGTGACAAGGAAAGCAGAACATAGAGAACATAGAGAACAGAAACTTTTGTGGTTTCTGTTTGATGTGGGGTTATTCTACACATAATGTGAGTCTTTGTAACCCCTAATGGGCCACGGAGTCACTGTAAGAAGAGAATGCTGAGCTATATTGGCAATATAATGTTTTTAAGTCAGTGAAAAGAGAAATATTAAAGGATCTATTGGCAGAAATGGAATATGATAGTCATAGGTAGGTTTTCATTAGTGTATAATCACCTGAAAATAAGAATATAGTCTTCTTGTGTGTAGTCCCCAATGTTGGACCGCCATGTTTCTATAATGACCCAGAACGGCCACCGTAGTTTCTGCCACATGCTTGGAAGGCTGAGCTGTATTCAGATGGTTGCAGTCTACAACTTCACCGCTAGATGCCACTGAATCCTACACACTGGCCATTTTATGCAGAGATCTACCCACACAGAAGTAGATGTAACTTAAATATGAGATGAAACAGGTTATAATGTAGAATGATGTTTTTAGCAACACACATCATCGTTTCAACCAGAAAATCAGGGGGCAGTGAACGCAAAGGTAGAGAGCCCATTACCTATCTGTACTATTTGTTATTTTTATGGGAGAATCATATCTTTTCAGATACCTGGTGGAACCTAAACCTTAGACTTCCAGACCAACTATTCTCTACAAATCATATCTGTTTAGAACGTCGGCTCATATGCCTACTCGATGCTCTGTGTTCGATTGGCCCCTCCACATGCACTCAAGTTAAGCATGTTTAGTAGTCAAGTCGTTTCTATTGAAAACTTCTACTATGTGTATTTCACCCTAGCATGCAAATTATGTAATGTAATGTATGTGTAAGTGTTTGTTATTAAAAATATGCAAGGCGCTGTTTATTTCCTTATTGCATGGCTAATGTTGAATACGTACCATTTTTTTTGTTTGTTTTTTAATCTAATTGTTACTTAAATGGGTATTGATTTTACTTCCCTGTTGCCTGGAGGCTATAAGGAATTAAATTACGGAAATTGTGCAGTAGAGACACTATAAAAAGTACAAAATTATTCCAATGAATAAGTGTATTGCAGAGCAGAGTTAGTAGTACAGTAGCATACAACCAGCTTCACTAAACACATGCATTTCCTGTTATGCCTTTCCTTTTACTTACCATTTACAGTATGGAGTAATAACCTCCATGACCTATAATCAATAAGACATTAGTTGTGTTACACAGTTGATCACTGTGTAAAACAGGAAGTCTGGCCTTCTAATTGCAGATACAATGCTTTCTTCTTAAACTTTGAGAAACCTGTTTTCAGCTGTTTGATTTGAGTCCAACCAGTTTTTGATGTTTTCAGGAAGGATGTTTGAAGGCAATTCCACAACAATGCTGTCATCTCTGGACACAGTTGCCTCCTTAAGTGACGATACTCTGTTATGGCCTGGTAGGAAAATCTTCTCAGTTGTGACACTGTGTTTGTGTGATGTGGACTTAACACACATGCTGTAGCTCCAATGCACTCATATACAGTCAAAGCCTTAAAAAGGCTTGTGTGGTTCTGCGTGTGGGCATGATTATTTTATTTTTGTGTCGACTTGGCTATCCCTCAGGTCATGAGTATGCAGAGGACAACCTGCTGTTCGCTGCTGAGGTTGAGCCACGCAACGCTGCCAGGGAAAGCAAATATCAGTGGGTGCTGCAGCAGCGAGGCCAGAAGCTGTGCACAGTAAGAATGATGCATCACCATTGTTATGCCTCTCTAGCATGCCATCCCAGAAAGGATTCATGATTCCCAGCACCTGGGAAGAAGGGCTTATCACCTGCCCACAGTGTGTGTGTGTGTGTGTGTGTGTGTGTGTGTGTGTGCTCTCCTCTTGCTTCCTCCTCTTCAGGTTCTGGGAATCGACTCTCATGACTGATACAGTCTGCAGTGGAGCAAAGGTCCACTGTTAAGAGAAATGCCTATCGAGTTTTTATCTGCCATCTGTACAGCATGGCACTAGAGGCAGTTTCACACATTTGCACCCTGCTGAACTTTCTAACCTACAACTCCTTCAGTGATTGACTACATTGTTTTTTCTGTATTGTGTGCGTGCTTGATACATGAAATATGGCTGGTCTGATTCCTTTAGAAATAGTTTGAAGGATTTTGAGCTCTTGGGTTGTTTTTGAATTGGCAGATCAGAGGTAGAGTAAAGAAAAAAACATGCATACAGACAACAAAGAAAGTTTTGCTTTTAGCTGTGCTATCTAAAAGATTAACTATTGTAAGAAAGTTGTGTAAACTGATGCACCAAAAATAAGTGATACTAGGTTTAATAAGCTGTGCTGGTTCAAGTTGGCAGGAAACTTCACTTGTTCTCCACAACTGTCTTCTGCAAATGAAAGAATGTCATGTGAATCATTGTGGCCACTAGAGAGAGACTTATGCACATGAAATTTGAAGAGGGCTGCTTTTTGACATGCTCTTCATTTTCAGAGTCCCTCCACTATCGGAGAAGAGAGGAAGTACAATCCTTTCCTGCGCAGCCACACTGCGGAGCTCCATCTGGCCCTGGGCCTCCAGCAGTTCCAGGATGAAGACTGGACCCAGTTTAGGGCCCGGGTGCTGGAGGAACTACGGAAACGCAAAGACCTCTACAACAGGAGATAGTACTGGGAACACTAAAAAGAGACGTTAGCTAAACACCGGCAAACAGTACGAAAAGTAGCGATCTGCAGCTGTAAATTAACGATGAGCCGAGCTCTGAGGTACTGTGTAAAAGACTAAATCTGTTCAAAGAAACTGGAAATTTTAAGAGGCATTAAGTAATTTTTTTTCCTTCTTTATTAACTTGTACCAGAGACCACTAGGAACATAGTCTCAATGTCATTATTACTACTACTACTACTACTACTACTACTACTACTACACTTTTATTTGATAGAGACAGCTGAAGATAGACAGGCAATAGTGGGAAAGAGGTGATGACATGCAGCAAGGGGCCACAGGCTGGGATCAAACTCAGCCTTAGTCTACCAGGTGAGCTGCGGGGGCACCCCTCTTCTTTATAGCTCTATAGTAATTGGTTTTACTGTACTGCATTGCATATTTAAAGCTAATTTTATTGTGGTGGCAGACAAAATATTAAAAATACTTGGAAAGTAATAGGAGGGCAATGCTGGTGAGGGTATGGGGCCCACTGATTGATGCCTGCACACTGTAGCCCACCCAGTAGCAGCAGTACCGTGTCATGCCTGGCACTTTAATGCACATACACACACCCAGGTAAGCACAAATTTACATCACACTCATAAACAACATGATATTATAAAACCCATCTCCTCTTATCACCCTTCTATGGAATTAATCTCATCTTCCTCCTCCACTCTGTCCTCTTTCACATAAATAACTCCTCTGTTAAAAGGCTTGTACTATGACTCTCTCTCGGCACCTCTTCCTTCTGGCTGCTAATAAAGATATGAACAGCTCTGCTTATTTTTCCACACTATAATACAATATCTATATATCAGAAATTGGGTGTGTGTGGAATTGAGAGTAAATGTCTGTGCCAATGGATGGAGTACAAATAAAGGCGACAAACAAAACTTCATAAAAATGTCATGTCAGGAAACAATGCAATTCCATTCAAACCAGTGTTGGACTCATATTTAATACATTTACAGTTGTGTACAATTTTAGGATTTTCTTCTACTTAATATTTTTTACATTGTGTGATTTAATGCTTCTATTCCAATACAGAGTTTTTTTATGCCACTACATTTATCTCAGAGACTGCTATAGTTACTTGCAGTGTTGGGGAGTAATGAAATACATGTTTAGTGTGTTTACTCTTTTTTGCCATTTTTATTTTTGTGTAGTTAACTATTGAAACTACAAACAATTTTGGGCCATAAAAGGAACATAATTATTTTTATTTTAGTTTTTGTATTGTTTCTCCAAGATAAATTATTAATTCGCCTTGGCTAGCTGAATTTTAATTTGCAAAACCAAACTTGATTAGTAAATTACATGAAATTAAGCTAGCAGTTTTACTACATTTTGCGGTAGCTTTTTAGTAGTTCAGTGACATTCATATGGGTGATTGGTTGTGGTTTTAGATTTTGGTAAAGTAAAACAACCTCTAGCAGCATGTCTTGTGTGTATCCGTGCTTAAGAACAGTCTTTTGTAAAACATAAATGGATTCTGTTGTTATGACATTAATAAAAACCATCAGCAAATACAGTAGACTATTTTTCACTTCAAACTGAAAGACATTCATGTATTCTAGAAACATTTGTTCTCATCCCACAAGAAAGAGCTACATGTGCAACTTTATTCTGATATTACCCAGTGAAGTATAGGAGCAAACTACTGAGCAATAATCCAGGTGAGACAAAACAAGCTTGAGTTACTTGTTTTTTGTGTCAAATATCTTGGACCTTTTTAATTACAGACAAAATGTTTCCCATTTTACTTACTACTTCCTGTATGTGTTTGTCCCATAATAATTTATTATCTATGATAACTCACAAAAGTTTGGTTTCTTCTACCTGATTTATTAACATGTCATCTATACTGAGATCAAGCTTTGGTTTTGAACATAAAGAATAATTTGTTCCTATTAAAGGTAGGGTCGGCAATCCTGTTCAGAAGCACGTTTTGTTATACTGGGTGAAATGGTCCCTCTGTTGTCAGAGGAATCAATTCGTTATGTCTTCAGAAAAAAGAACGGAGAAAATCAGAGCTCTCTGTCAGCTGCAGGACTGAGAAAACCTAGGAATAACAATAAGTGATTAAAAACAACTCTAGATTTGGATTCTAAGCTATAGTAGACTGGATAAACGTAATAAACTTATTTTGAATGTGGTGAAAACAACCGTTTTAAAGCGGGGTTGGTAATCTTGGAAAGCTAGCGAGAGAGCTAGCAGGTTTGAAAATAGCACCGCCTCCTGCCTCCTTGATTGGCTCATGGTTTCCACCCCTCTCCTCCCCTCCCGTCAGTGTGTCGTCAACCACGGCCCCAACAAACTGGCAGCGCACACCAGCGAAATGAAGCGCAGAAGGAGAGGAGAGGAGAGCTAACGTTAGCATTACGCTAATACAAGCTACAAACGTAGCTCCGTTGGGAAAAGTTACATATTCATGAAATAACAAAAATCATCCCAAAGCAAAATAAATAACACTGTCCAAGAAGAATTTCATCCTCTTTTTCTCGGGGCAAGCCGTTACAAGTACCGTGAAGCGTACTTTCTCAGTTATTGCTCCAGAATTTAGCATGAAACCTGTCGTTCTGTAATTCTGGCGTTCTGCAGAGAACTGTGCTGTTTGTTTCCGCAACAGCTACATGTGCACCGTGCAGCAGGCAGGGACAGAGGGGGGCCGGGGCTGCAGAACTGCTCTTCGCACCGAAGGGCACGGATTGGTCGAACAGCCTGCAGCCTGACAGAGAGCTCTGATTTTCTCCGTTCTTTTTTTCTGAAGACACTAACGAATAGATTCCTTCTGACAACCAGAGGACCCATTTCACCCAGTATAACAAAACGTGTTTGCAACAGGCATTGCCCGACCTCACTCTTAATAGGACAACCATTATTCCTTTATGTTCAAAACCAAAGCTTGATCTCAGTATAGACTGAATGGTACATAAATCAGGTAGAGAACAAACTTTTGTGAGTTACTC